GGACACGGCCACAGGGAGCCGAGGAGGGGTGACGGGCACTCCGCTGCTGAAACTCCCCGGTCAGGAAGGCTTTCTTCTGAAAACCACCTCTCAGCCTCCTTCTTTTTCCTCTTTTTTCCTTTTTTTTCTTTTCCTGGCACGATTTCTGCCCATGTTGTCTCCTTCCCAAGTGCGCGGCACTGTGGGGCTGCCCCGACACTGGCGGTCAGAGCCCTCCTCTTCATCTCTGAATCAGCACACACCCTCCAGCCCCGTGCTCCCACAGCCCTGAACGTTTTTCTGATTTGACGGCGAACAAACATAGCTTTCGGTCTGTGGATCCGGTCCCGAGACATCCTGAGCTCTGCAGTCAGCGGAGCTGCCTAACGACAACGCCTCCGTAACTGAACCTTCGGACAAATGCGAAGCAAACTCACTGCCCACAGCATTTTATGTCTTCTTTATGGTCACACTCACAGCGTTTGGCCGAGGGATTCCTCAACAAGTCAGTTCATGCAATCCCGGCTCGTGGCCTCTGTTGATTTAGTCTCACGGCAGCGTTCTCCCTCTCCATCTCTCAGATTTCATCTCTCAGCCCGTCTGTGTCGGCAATGTACTTGATAAATTTACTGCTGGAGCGCAGACTACTGGAACCGCCACAGCCGAGCGTGTTACGGACTTCAGTGCTGAAAGCGCCCGCCTGAGCGAGGGGCAGGCAGCCGCCCCAGGCCCCGCCGCTGGTCCTGCTCTCTCCCCTCCTTGCAGCCCCAGGGGTCATTCGCTTCCCGCTCCCAGCTCCCCCGTGACCCCCCCAGGACACGGAGGGACGCGGAGGAGAGGGCGGCAGCAGGCGGCTCTCCATCATCCCCAAAGGATCCTCTTCTGCAGCCGTGCCTTTCAAAGACACTCCTCCAGGAAGAGCATCCCCGCGATGAAGGCTACAGACACAAAGTCCCGGCCTCCAGAGGGAAGCAGTGTGTAAACCCCAGGCAAAATATTCTCAAAATCAGAAAGTGCTGTCAAGAAGTGTCTTTTCCAGAAGTACGGTGTGCATACTCAATGGGCCAACTCTTACTTTCTCGCTGGGAAGCAGTCCCAGCAGACAGGAGCAAGCCTGGTTGCCATGTTTTGGGAGCTGGGCCTGGCGCAGGCACCCGCCTTGCATGTGCAACGGTGGGAGTTTGGGGTTTCCCCTCCATGGCCCTGACCAGGACTGGTACGCTGCCCGCGCACCCACACCGTCCCTGCCTGCAGCCCCGCCGGCGGGATGGAGCCCACCACTGTGCTCTGGCTGAGGACCACCCTCAGAGAGTCCTGATGAAACCACAGCGCCAGCCAGGTCTGAGCACCTCGGGTCACTGTGTCCAGCGGCATCCATGCATCCGTCAGGGGAAATATGCCCACCGTGCCCTTCCTAGGTCCTCAGCCCAACTACCAGAGCCTCCATCCTGAGCATGCCAACATCTCCCACAGTCTCATGCTTGGTCTCCTCAATGTTATCTGAATTAGTGTACCTCACACAAGCCTTGCCGCTGAGGAAACATGCAAAGAACACGTGCTCGCTGGCCAGTTTGCAGAGTGGGTGAAGGACCCACATGCTGTGGACAGGAGCTGCTGCTCCCTCGCTGGACAGACAGAAAGACTCATTTTAGACCAGCCTGGTCACCCAGCGGGTGGTGTCTCTGTAGCTGGTGTACGTCAGCCTGCCTCTACTCTGGAGCCATCATCCACACCCTCACGGCCCACAGTCAAACCTTCATTTCTCTTCTCTTCAGCCAAGGCACTGGCGGCCTCGTCCCTTCCTGAGCTTGCAGAGAAGATGTGTATCCTCCGGGCGCAAACAGCACACAGCCCTCGCCAGGGGCTCGCGGGGAGTCCCCACGCGACCAGCATCCAGGGACAGAAACACCCTTTGCAGCTTTGTCACCAGGGTGCCAGCAATCACAGGGTGCTCAGAAAGGGACGATACCACAACAATGCTTCAGAAGGTTCCCTCCGTAAACTGTCCGTGCTGTCATTTGTCTTCAGTTAAAAACAGGTGTGTATCAGCTATTAATTGCTGAAAGATGAAAAGTAGGATTTTTCTCACTGTTAAGTTTGTCACAAAAATGACTTCCGGGTTAGGAAACAGTTTGAAGGACTCCGGCCAAGATCCCTGATGGGATCTGTGAACATCTCACTGCCATTAAGCCGGTAGGACCTGGGTGCCTCTGTGGCTTTTGAGGACCCAAACACATCTGCCCTGGGAACCTGGAAGTGATGGCTGCATTTCCACAGTGGGAGAAGATGCCACTGGAGTTGGAGAGGGAGCTTCTCAATGGGTCAGTGGCCACTAAGGACACCAGACACACAGCACAAGCGATGAGGGGGGGAGGGAGGAGGAGAGAGAAGAGTGTTAACTCAGGAGCTGCCATTTCAGAGAAATGCTTGTTCAGCTGGAATTAAGCTGTTGAATGTTCATCCACGGGAAGGCGTCTCAGGTTCAACACCAACAACCTGTCTTCAGCCGTAGGACACACACAACCAAGCACCAACAGGCCCCCCCTGCAGTGCCCACGCTGTTCTGGGCAGATAAGGATGGTCTGGTGGGGAATAAGGAGGCTACAGCCAGATCTCCATCTCACCAGGGCCAGGGAGCTTCTCCACTGCCCTCAGGAGGAGGGGATGGGGGTCTTGTGTGTCATCCATACGTGTCGGCTGCCCCTCGGCCTGGGGCAGGGGAGGCTGCAGGGGGAAATCAGCAGCTCTGGCTCCGTGAGGTGGCAGTGATTGGTGTAGCTGCTTGGCGGGTCGTTTGTAGCTGCTCTCCTCTCTTCATTAGCCCCAGGAAGCCGCACATCGAAGGACATGTCACTATTAGCGCTCCCTCCCCCAGCGGGAGGGAAGAAACGTGGAATTAATGGGGCAAAATCCTCCCTGGCGCACGTCTGGACTATGGCGGCTCGAATTCGGAATGCCTTCACTGCAATGCACAGACCCCCAAAACGAGCACCTTCCTCTCCAATTTGCCTCGGAAAGCGCTCGGTACGCCCCGTTCAATATATCCGTTTAACAAAAATCATTACCGTGGTATTTCTCCCCCTTCCTCTCAGGGTGTTCATAATTGGGTTTTAGCACACCGCCTATTGAGATGTACATAAGGTGTCAACTATTATTTAGGAATTCCTTCTTGGATGCTGCTTAACTTGAAACCAGAGAATTTGTTTCAGTACTCATTATGATGACAAATTAACATAAATGAATATTAAGCAGTAAAATGTCACAAAACTGCCCATTTCTTCAGTGGCCCATGTGTTCGATACTAGCATATAGCATGATCACACACAGCTGTCAGATAGGATGCTCTATACAGAAATAACATCAGCCCGAAATATAGCCACAATGAGTGTTAACCTGGTTCAAAGTTGCTTAAAGCTTACTGAATTCTTTGAATCAGTGCACCAGTTTCAAAACGCATTTTCAGATGTGTTTTGAGTTTGCATTTGTACAGTGTTGCTGCTTATGCTTAAGCCACTCTTATAGTAATACAAACAAGCAAGTATTTACAGTGGTGCTTGTGTAAAATTGAGCAGACTGATTTTGTTCTTTGCCACCAAAGAAAAAAAAACAAGAACGGAAAAAAAAAAAAAGAAAAAAAAAGAAAAAAGAAAATTGCCTTGAGTCTCACAGCCTGTTTCAGTGTGCAGCAAGAGGAAGCCGCCCCAGGGGGAGCCGCTCACGCCTCTTCCTTATCCCCAGATACAGCCGTGGCACCCACAGGCGGTTAAAGCAGTAGCCAGCCGGCTGCGAAAGACAGGAAGCTACCGCGCGTTTTCCATCACACAGAACATCAGGAGAACCGCGTCCTCCTGTTTCTTTGTCTGATTTGAGACCCCGATCAAACACGACCAGGTTCAGGAATACAATAATAATCAGTTCACCAAGTTTAAAGAGCAAAATTTCAATTAGCATGTTCCTACTAGGTACTTTCTCCTTCCCTTGCAGCCCGGCTGGCGCGGCTGCC